AATAATAATAATAATAATAATAATAATAATAAATTATTTATACCCCGCCCATCTGGCTGGGCTTCCCCAGCCACTCTGGGCGGCTTCCAACAAAATATTAAAATACCGTAATACATCAAACATTAAAAGCTTCCCTAAACAGGGAATTATTAATAATAATTAATCATCATCATCACTCCAATTTCTGGCCACTCCAATTTCTGCAGTGCACAATTAAGGCACGATGCTATAATGGTTTTTTTTTAAAAATGAAATGTGGTTTATTTACACATATTTACAATCAGAAGCCTTCAATGGAGGAGGTGCAGAACATTATAGCTCAAGAGTGTCTTCAGCAAGCAGGTGCCCAGAGTAGAAGCCAGCCATGGTTCCTTGTCTCTGGGGAAAGCCACTGCTAGTTAACCCACGGAGAATTATTCTTCCCAGAACACCTTGCCAAACACAACTCCCCTTTCCGTTTACTTTATCACACCCTGTCGCCCTGGCAACCTGTGGCGACATCACACCCCCTGTAAACCTGGCAACCTCCCTTTCCTTCCTTCTGTCTCTGTCCAATAAGCATTTGCCTTGTCAATCACCCTTAATGGTCTGGTGTGTCACTCTCTTTGTGTCTCAATGGCACCTCCGTTGTCGGCCAATCTCTAGAACAGGAAAAACAACATAGCCTGTATTTTTACACTGAGCCTAGTGTCTTTCCTTATTACTCCAAATATTAGCTAAATTATAACATTTACTAATTTTAAAATTTAGGGGGATCTGGCCCCCCCAACTCATAGCAATATTTATATTGTTTATATTTATATCCCACTCTTTTTCCAAGGAGCTCAAGATAGTATTCTTCTCCTCCTTCTTTGGCTATCACTCGTAGCCGAGTAAGATTGTCTTCCATGAACACGGTCTTAACAGTGAGTCTGTAAGTGACTGTGGAGGCCAATTCTGGATCCACACGTCCTTCCATGGTGGCGACATAGGTTTCCAGGCAGGAATTGATCATAGTGACGAATTTGCCAAATGCACGTTCCTCTTAGCTCGTTTCTCCCTTTCGTCCTGTGTTTGTGCATCTTCAAAGTCCATGACACCTTTGGTAAAGGCTATTCTCCAGTAGGAGCGCTCACAGGTCAATAGTTCCCAATTGTCAGTGTTTATACTACATTTTTTTAGATTGGCCTTGAGTGAGTCTTTAAACCTCTTTCGTTGGCCACCAGCATTACACTTTCTATTATTAAGTTCAGAATAGAGTAGTTGCTTTGGAAGACAATAATCAGGCATCTGAACAACATAACCAGTCCACAAAGTTGATGCTGAAGAATCATTGCTTCGACACTGGTATACAATGGTACCTCAGGTTAAGAATTTAATTTGTTCTGGTGGTCCGTTCTTAACCTGAAACTGTTCTTAACCTGAGGTACCACTTTAGCTAATGGGGCTTCCCGCTGCACGATTTCTGTTCTCATCCTGAAGCAAAGTTCTTAACCCGAGGTATTATTTCTGGGTTAGCGGAGTCTGTAACCTGAAGCGTCTGTAACCCGAGGTACCACTGCACATGGTTCTCTCTAAACCCACACCGCATTTTATCCTCACAACAAACCTGTGAGCTATATTACCCTGAGAGACTGTGACTGACCCAAGGTCAGAGGCACAGTCTTGCGCCCAACCTGGCATCCTCCACATATTTTTGGACCCCAATTCCTGGCAGTTTCATTCCCATCCCTGATCTGTTCTCACTCTCAGTAACCCTCCATGGGATCAGGCAGAGGTGCTTCTGCATGTGACTGTCATTCATTTCCCCCCCTTCTGCCTCTTTTACAGGTTTCAATAAATATCTGAATCGTGGAGGACGTTGCCAATTCCCAACAAACGTTGTGCATGTCAGCCTTCTCTGGTTTATTGTTCCCCAGCCTTCTTGTCGAACACACACTGTGAACACGGAGGATCGTGTTGAGGTGACTGTCAACATTCACTGGTGCTTCTTCTCCATTCACAATATGTATCTGACTGGAGACCATTCACATGCAAATGCCGGCCTTTACCTATTGGTAGGTATTCATCCATTCACTCACAAGCTTCCCTGTCAACTAAGGGATTGGCTTCTAGCCCACAAAAGCCTACAGGAAGTCTGAAAAGGCCTTGTATAGGAACCAACCTGTTGAAGATATTGAGACTTAGGTGCAATCCCAAACCAGGAAGTAAATACTATTGAACTCAATGGGGCTTATGTTTAAGATTGCCATGATGACTCGGCTCTGCCTCCATGCTCAGAGGCAGCAATGCTTCTGAACACCAGTTGCTGGAAACCACAGGAGGGAAGAGGGTCCTGATTGTGCCCGGGTCCTGATTGTGGGTTTCTCACAGGCATCTGGTTGGCCACTGTGAGAACAGGTTGCTGGACTAGATAGGCCATTGGCCTGACCCAGCAGGGTCCTCTTATGTGCTTATTTCTCTGTTAGTTAATAGAGCTGTGCTGGTCCCGAGGGTTGACCGTGCGGCGAGGTCCGAGTCCAATCCGAGGTCGAGGGTCTGGTATGGAGGCTGTCCATCAAAGCTGAAGCTGGGTCCAAGGCAGGGAGTCAGGTGAGGTCAGGAACTCTGGCAGAAGAGCAGGACAGGGTACAGGCAGGAACAGGCTACCAACAATGTTGCTCCCACAACCTGGGACTGGGGCTGGCTGGCTTTTATCTGCCCCAAGGCATAGGGCGGCCCCGGTCCACAGGTGACTCGCCTCTCCGGGCCTGGAGGTGAGCACTCCTCCTGCGGGAACTTAGTTCCCTCCGCCTCTCTGCCCTGAGCCTCTGCAGCTCAGGAGAGGCTGGAGGGTTACCGGACCCAGAGGCAACCTCAGCTCCCCTGACGGGGCTGAGAGTGGAGCACCTGCAGGCAATGGGTCCTCCATCACCTCAGGAGCCAGAGCAGACCCAGCTGGTGCCTGCACCTGAGGATCCAGCACAGGTGAGGACCCTTCAGGCTCAAGCCTCAGCCCCGGCTCAGCTGGTCTGAGAGGCTCGAGGGTCAGCGCGACTGAGGCCTCTGCGCTCTGACCAGGCTCTCAGCCTCCAGGCCTCAGCGAATCAGCTCCCATAGGACTCACACACATTTCTCTTTCATTTTTGGAGGGGAAAAAGTGCGTCCTATAGGGCGAAAAATACGGTACACACATATAAAAAAACGCCGTGAAAATGCTTTTTTTAAAAACATTTTGAAAAATATATTGGGTCTGCCATAGCTCACGGTCGCCATCTAATGTCACATTTGTATACTGCATTTTACAACATACTTTAAACTTTTTTTTGCAGCTATATAGCTGAGTCCCAAGTAGGATGGGCAGGGTATAAATAAATTGCTGTTGTTCCTGACCTTGCTCACTGGGGCTGATGAGAGCTGGAACCCAACAGCATCTGAAGACCCACCTCTGCAACTGAGTATGGTGCCACCAGAAATGGTCCATGGGACTTTTCACCATTTTCACTGCAAGTGACTAACATGGAAAATCCTTTGGGATGTTACCCTCGGAATGAGGGGCAGTCCACATCAGCCTATGGCAACAGCCTGTGGTTTTGCTGTGAACCTGCCAGGAGATTGCAGAGTTTTCAGGGAGCAGATGGTCTGCTTATGCTGAAGATTCATTCCCGCCTGGCGGCAGCTCTCTCCTTCCACCCCTTCAGCCAGGTCAGACAGTGCCTCCAGATTTGCTGCCCGCCTTCCGTCCTCCTCCTTCAGACACCCAGCGAGGGAGAGCAGTGACAGCTGTTCCCTTGGGGGAGCGTTTGCTTTGGAAGGGTAATCCTGGAAGGACGGGCTTTGGGCTGCACATATGCCAGCCTGTGCAGGAATCTGTGCCATCTGGCGAGATGAGAAAGCAAGGAGGAGACAGGGAGGGAGAGGAAGGACAAGGAGGGCTAGTTCTCAAAAAGGAGAAAGACGTTGCTTTCTGCAGTCTGTGGAAGAGGAATAAAAAAAAAGGGTGCATGAGATCAGAGGCAAATAAGATGCTGCTCTAAACCGAGCCAAAGCATGGTCCATCTAGCTCAGAGCTGTCCACATTGGAGAGTAGGGATGTTTTCAGCCTGAGGGCCACATTTCCCTTTAGTGAGGCTTGTGGGGGCCACAAACCAACAATGGTTGGCGCTGGAGGCAAAAGTAAATGGAGTGATGTCAATTTTACCTTTTGTAGGCTAGTTCCTGCATGCATTCGCTCAGGGGTTACCAAGGGCCAGATAAGAGAGGCCTGGAGGGCCACACTGCCCCTCCCCTGGGTCAGCTTTCCCACCCCAGTCTTTACTGACCAGCAGTAACTCCCCAGGGTTTCATAGAATCATAGAATTGTAGAGTTAGAAGGGACCCCCAGGGGTCATCTAGTCCAGCCCCCTGCAATGTAGGAATCTCAGCTATGTGGGAATGTTTAGGGTGGCAGGAGAGGATATATTGTTTATTAATATCCTTCCTAACTTGCGCTAGCAAGTTCCTTTACATAGCAGAGTTTTTCATCCGCCTTTTAAATGCACAGCAGATAGCTGGTTGCAGGCTCGTGTTAGCCTCTCATGATTAGGTTCCTGGTAAGCTCCCTTATATCCTTCTTAAAAGAATAAACACGCCACAATCTTATTTAAAGTATATGAAAGATAGTTTACTCACATCAGTTCACAGATGGATTCCTGAAGGCACTTAGTTAAAAATATGTACATGTGGATCTACCCCATATGGGAATAACCCCAGTGTCCTCTACTAGCTGAGAAGATGGCAGAGCATTCCTAGCTAAAAAGCTGCTCCAACGAAGAAGGAAGTAAAAAAAAAAAAAGGAAGGGTGCTGCGTGCCTCGTCCTTTTGTTACCTGGACAGGTAAGGTCACACCTACATTCAGTCCCATGCAAAAGGAAGGATGTTCCAGCCAGGAGGAAACAGGAAGTTTCCCCTGCATGTCCATTCTAGGAAAACAAGGAATGTTGTACTTGACTGCTTCCCACAAGCTAAAGCACCCATGACAGATGGCCATCAGGCAGGGGGCCTGGAGATGCCGGGGTTTGAACCCGGGACCTTCTGCTCACAAAGCAGATGCTCTCCTACTGAGCTACGGACCTTCCACAGAGCCTGACAACAAGTGTCAAGTGTTCGCCGCTTTGATGTATCTGTTTGGATGGGGGAAACAGGATGCTCAATTATGCAAATAAATAAATAAATGGCAGCGACCCAGCAAAGCCCGCACGGTTCGTCAGGCCCAACCTAACAGCCTCTCTTGATGCCTCCATGGGAATCCTTCCCAAAGATTGGGGTTGTAAATCACAGCTAAATGGCTGCAAGATGGGGTGAGGTCCATAATGTTTTAATGTAGCAAACGGACGCTTGCAGTATGTGAGTGTGAAGGCAGAGACCGTGGCACGCGGCCATAACAGACGTCAAGCTCGGTAAATAATCACCCGGCTAGCAGCAATTCATTGCTACCTGCGGAGCTTCTAGGCTACAGGAAGCCCAAACGGAATATTAAATCTGTTCTGCTTCTCTCGCTTGGTCGCAGCACCCTGTAGACCAATGGGACCGGCATTCACGTCTCAAAAAAACCGTGCATTACATCCCGTGTGTTGCGCACCCTCCTACTGATACAAACCGGTTCCAAGCAAACAGCAGCCATCTCCTGTTTTACTTATGGAAACAATCCAAACGCCATAAAGGTCGGCTTAGCAGCCATTAGCAATGCTTCATGGGGGATATAAACACCCATCTGGGCTTTAATGTGCATTTGTTTGGTATTCATAATCCAGCAGCAAAGAGGACTGATCACAGGAGGCCTTTTCTTTTTGAAGGGAAATGGAGGAGCGAAGTGGATGGCCATTTCTTTGCAAGGCACCCAGGGGCTCCAGTGAGCATGGAGGGCCGGTGCTCATGGCACGAATTAAGCAAAAGCTTCTCCGTTCTCTGCAATGCGCTTGGCGCCTCCCCTGTGTTCACATCAGAGTCCAGGGCAGGGTCAGAGGTCAGCACTGCAGGGCATTGTGGGATGGTGCCCACAACCTGACAGGGGAAATGGTCACTGGTCCCCCCACACACAATTTTTTATTAGTTTTCAAACAATTTAACAAATTCAATTCAATTTCAGTACAACATTCCCTTAAGATTTTGTCTTCCCATCCTTACTTCCATGATGTTTCTCTTCAAATCTTTCACCTGCTGCCATATAAGTTAATATTTCTCGAAAGCGTTTTTCTCATATCGCATTCCTTTATCAAGTCCTGCCTGCTATTTCATTTGACTATAATATTTTCTCAAATAATCCAAAAAGCATCTTCTTCAATGCATTATGTATCATTTCCCAAAAGCCTGTTTCTTCTTTTACAAGTCCACCACATATGAAAAAATGGGACCCAGTCACCAAACCCTCAAGTTTCCCTATTTTCCAGGGACAGTCCCAGATTTACAGAAGTCATCCCGGTTTCTGATTTGATCCCAGAATGTCCCACTTTTCCTTAAGCCGTCCCTCTTTTAATTGGAGAAATGTTGGAGGATGTGGACTTATGCAACCCCCAAGCCAAAGGGATAAGTAACTATACAACCTTTAGAAGACATCTGAAGGCAGCTCTGTATAGGGAAATATGTTAATGTTTAATGGCACAAGTAGTGAAGGAGAAGAACCACTGACGCCCCCTCACAGGAACATGTTGTTGTTTAGTCGTTTAGTTGTGTCCGACTCTTCGTGACCCCATGGACCAGAGCACGCCAGGCACTCCTGTCTTCCACTGCCTCCTGCAGTTTGGTCAAACTCATGTTTGTAACTTCGAGAACACTGTCCAACCATCTCGTCCTCTGACGTCCCCTTCTCCTTGTGCCCTCCATCTTTCCCAATACCAGGGTGTTTTCCAGGGAGTCTTCTCTTCTCATGAAGTGGCCAAAGTATTGGAGCCTCAGTTTCACGATCTGTCCTTCCAGTGAGCACTCAGGGCTGATTCCCTTCAGAATGGATAGGTTTGATCTTCTTGCAGTCCATGGGACTCTCAAGAGTCTCCTCCAGCACCATAATTCAAAAGCATAAATTCTTCGGCGATCAGCCTTCTTTGTGGTCCAGCTCTCACTTCCATACATCACTACTGGGACTCCATGGACAAAGACAACAGGCACAGGAACGTAGAAAGCTGCTTTATACTGAATCAGTCCCATGGGTCCATCTAGTTCAGTGTTGTCTACCCTGACTGGCAGCAGCTTTTGGGATTCCAGGCAGGAGACATTTCCAGCCCTGCCTGGAGATGCCCAGGTCTGAACCTGGAATTGTCTGCATGCAAAGTAGATGTTCTGCCACTAAGCTACAACCCTTTGGCTTGGCTTGCCCTCTCCTCCTGGGAAGTTTCAACGTTGGAAAACAACCATCGTGTGCAGGGAACAAATCTCTGGCCTGAGCACATCCAGTGCAACCGAACAGATTTCATGAGAAGTTGCCTTGTACCGGCTCAGCCCACTGCTCCTTCTAGCTTAGCATTGTCCACACTGACTGGAAGCAGCTCTCTAGATACCATTTGAAAAATGCAGAGTCTTGCTAATATTCATACTGATTCAGTGCTATTCAGAGCCCTCTTTCTTTCCAGTTTTTACTACGGGCAACGACCAATTTGTGTGCATCCGTTTGAGGTTCAGTCGTCCACAGTGCGTCGTGGTGACCCGGAAGTGGCTGGAAAAGGGGGAGGAATGTGGATCAGAACGGGGTGGGGGCAGAATGGGGCACAGCGGGCTTATGCACACTCCACCGATGTGCAAAGGAGTCAGGAATATAACCCCTGTGCAAACCGCTTGTTGCCTGTACTTTACTCTTCATTCCAAGCCTTTATCCCAAAGAAATCAATCACTGATGGTGCACACTCCCCCATTCCTTTCCTGAACCTGTAATTGCCTCCAATTTCAAGCTAAAATTAGCTTTTCCTGCCCATCTAAATGAGCACTGTTAAGAGTGCTGATGTGTGGAAGCTGCGTTGTGTAAGACGGTTAAGCCGGGCTTCACTTTGACAAGAGCTTGGTACAAAATGAAAATGTGGGGGGGTTTTGTTTTGTTTTTTTATGTTTCCCCTCATCACACTGCAAACTGCTTAGAAGAGACTTGAGTGGAGAGAAAGAGAGAATTCCTGAGATCACCAAATAGGAAGTCTGACGGAGGCAGAAATAAATACAAACCTGCACTTAGAATATACCTGTTTTTGTACGTGAAGATCTGTTTGGGAGTGCTTTTGCTCCTTTGCCAGCTTGTCAACATTAAACATCTAATAATCAACATTTAAGGTGTGTATATAGAGAAGAAGAAGGTTGCGTTGGACAGGTAGTCTCTTTCCTTTCAAGCAATACCAAATGCGCTCTACGTGGGGCTACCTTTGAAGGTGACCCGGAAACTACAACTAATCCAGAATGCAGCAGCTAGACTGGGGACTGGGAGCGGCCGCCAAGACCACATAACATTGGTCTTGAAAGACGTACATTGGCTCCCAGTATGTTTCCAAGCACAATTCAAAGTGTTGGTGTTGACCTTTAAAGCCCTAAACGGCCTCGGTCCAGTATACCTGAAGGAGCGTCTCCACCCCCATTGTTCTGCCCGGACACTGAGGTCCAGTGCCAAGGGCCTTCTGGTGGTTCCCTCACTACGAGAAGCAAAGCTACAAGGAACCAGGCAGAGGACCTTCTCAGAGGGCCTTCCTTCCAGCCCTATGGAACGCCCTCCCATCAAATGTCAACTACCTGACATTTAGAAAACATCTGAAGGCAGGCCTGTTCAGGGAAATTTTTAATGTGTGACATTTTGATGTATTTTTAATCTTTGTTAGAAGCTGTCCAGAGTGGCTGGGGAAACGCAGCCAGATGGGCGGGGTACAAATAATGAATTATTATTATTATTATTATTATTATTATACCAGAAGGTAGGGACACTGGGAGGGTCTGCCCTCTCCCCATCCTGTCCAACAGCACCCTGCAGCGGGATCTGAGCAGTTCAGGGCAGCTTATGATGGCCTTTCTAGGCCACGCTGACTGCCTGACCTCTACTCAACATGAATTGTGTTTCTAGAATTAGCTTCTCAGAGCAGCGCAACTTTTATATGTAAATCGAGCCCTTATTCCCACCAGCCTCGCCGGGGTTATATCCGAGGCTAATTATGAGCTATTCCATGTGGGAAATTCATCCTGAGGTAATAAGCTAATCAGGCTTTGTCTGAAAGAACCGACTTTGGCACACAGTGCCTCCTTATTAAAGGAAACCGATCTCGATTAGCAGCAAACGTAATGATCGCCTTGTAATAAAATTCTATAAACAACCAAGCGTAGCTCTGCGGAAAACAAGCCAGGCAGGCGCAGGCCACCGGTCTCTGCACCGTTCTCGGATAGCAGACGCTATTTGCCTTTGGTAAATGCAAAGCAGGCAAAAGGCACAAGACAGAATAATTCACTCGCACAAACATTGCAGTCTCAAAATTATACACCAATTAAGTTGCCTGCATCTTTGGAACCTGACAGAATGCCTTGTGATGCCTGCGTTTCACAGAGATGAAAATGGATGCAGGTGAACACATACCAAGCAGGTTCCCATAGCTTTGTGGCAGAACAAGCACTTGGCATGCAGAGGGTTCAGTCCCTGACATCCTCCAGGTGGAGATAGGAGAGGCCCATGTCTGAAGCCCTGGAGTGCCCCTGCCAATCAGTGTTGGCCATACTGAGCTGGATGGACCAAGAGTTTGACTCAGAAGAAGGCAGCTTTCTCTGGGAAGTCAGTCGTCTGCGTTCCCCTGCCAAGTGTGGAAAAGAAATGTGGACATAGGACAGAAACGAGGACATGGATTCAGGACACACAAAAGAAAGTACTTGTTCATGCATAGCATAGTTGAACTATGGAATCTGCTCCCTACAAGGGGTAGTGATGGTCCCCAACCTTTAAAAGAGGATTAGACCAGAGGCAGATTGAGGCCAACATGACCATGTCTGCTGCGCTGGGTGACAGTCTAGGGGGCGCCGCAGGGTGTCACAACTATGGCGTGATGAATTGAGCAGAATGGAAGGTGAGAGGTGGGTGGGGGGCGCTAAATTTTGGCCTTGCATAAGGTGCCACTGAAATTTGAAGGA